ACAAAGAAATGAAAAAACATTCCATGCTTATGGATTGGAAGAATGGATATTGTTAAAATCTCCATACTACCCAAAGCAATCTACAAATTCAAAGCAATCCCTATGAAAATACTACCAGCAGTTTTGACAGAGCTAGAACAACCAATTCTAAAATTTGTATGGAACCAGAAAAGACCCCAAATAGCCAAATTTTGAAAAAAAAAAAAAAAAGCAAAGCAGGAGAGATCACAAATTTGTACTTCAAGTTATATTACAAAGCTGTAATAATCAAGAGAGTAAAGTACTGGTACCAAAACAGGCACATAGATCAAATGGAACAGAATAGAGAATCCAGAAATAGACCCACAAGTATATGGTCAACTAATTTTCAACAAAGCAGGGGAGAATATTGGATGGAAAAATGACAGTCTCTTCAACAAATGGTGTTGGGAAAATTGGACAGCCACATGCTGAAGAATAAAAGTGGACTACTTTCTTACTCCATACATAAAAATAAACTGAAAATGGATGAAATACGTAAAGGTAAGACCTGAAACCACAAAAATCCTAGAAGAGAACACAGGTAGCAACCTCTTTGACCTCAAGCATAGCAACTTCTTGCTCGACACATCTCTAGAGGTAAGGGAACCAAAAGCAAAAATGAACTATTAGGACTTCATCAATCAACCATTACAAATGGCATATTAGGGTTAGTATCCAAAATGTATAAGGAATTTATCAAACTCAACACCCAAAAAACCAAATAATCCAGTTAAGATACGGACACAAGAAGTGCACAGACATTTCTCCAAAGAGGACATACAAATGACTAACAGACACATGAAAAATTGCTCAACACTCATCATAAGAAAAATACAAATCAAAATCATGATGAGATATCCCTTCACACTAGTCAGAATGGCTAAAATTAGTAACTCAGAAAATGACAGATATTGGCAACGATGTAGAGAAACCCTCTTATACGAATGGTGGGATTGAAAACTAGTGCAGCCACTCTGGAAAACAGTAGGTTCCAAGTTAAAAATAGAACCACTCTATGACCCAGCAATTGCACTACTAGGTATTTATCCAAAGGACACAAAAATACTAACTTGAAGGGGCATATGTACCCCAGTGTTTATACCAGCACTATCAACAATAGTCAAATTATGGAAAGAACCCGATGTCCATTGACTAATTAATGGATAAATAAGAAGTGGCATATATATGTACAATGGAATATTACTCAACCAAAAAAGAATTAAACCTTGCCATTTGCAGCAACATGGATAGAGCTAGAGAGTATTATGTTAAGTGAAATAAGTCAGAGAATGAAAATTACAAGATTCCACTCCTGTGAAATTTAAGAAGCAAAACATGAACATAGGGGAAGGGGAGGAAAAATAAAATAAGATAAAAACAGAGAGGGAGGCAAACCATCTGAGACTCAACTACAGAGAACAAACTAAGGGTTGCTGGAGTGAAGATGGTTGGGGGGGATTGGCTAATGACTGATGGGCTTTAAGGAGGTCTCTTGTGATGAGCACTAGGTGTTGTAAGTAATGAATCACTAAATTCTACTCCTGAAACCAATACTACACTAAATTAACTCACTTGAATTTAAATAAAAAATTGGAAAAAAAATAAAACTGCTGCATGGTGTTTCAGAAAGAAAAAGGGCAAACTAATTGAAACGGCAAGCATAACGGTGGCTACGAAGGGCTGTGGAATGGAGGAAATGGAGAGATGTTGGTCAAAGGATAGAAACTTCCAGTCTTAAGAAATAAATTCTGTAAATCTAACATAACAACATGGTGATTACAGTTAATGATACTGTAGTACAATACAGATATTATATACTTAAAAGTTGCTAAGGTAGTAGATCTTAAATGTTTGTACCAAACAGAAATGATAATTATATGATGGGATGAGGTATTAACTAACTTCATAGTGGGAATCATCTTGCAATGTATAAATATATCAAATTAACATGTTGTACACCTTAAACTTACAAATGTTAAAATATATTAATAAAGCTGAAAAAAAAACAACAAAAAATAAAGTTCATACTTCCATTCCCTTTCTATCTTTGTATGATTTTAAGTTTCACATTTTTTTCAGCTTTATTGATACATCCTCTTTGGAAACATTTAAGTTCTACTGTCTTAACAAATTTCAATTATATAATATAGTGTTACCATATAAGTTCCTCAGACCTTATTCATCTTGTAGCTGAAAGTTTGTATTCTTATACCAACCTCTCCTGTTTCCTCCACCCCACAACCCTTGGCAACCAGTCTTCTACTTTCTGTTTCCATGAGTTTGGTTTTCTTTTTCTGATTCTATATAAGTGATATCATGCAGTATTTGTCTCTCTTTGTCAGGCTTATTTCATGTAACATAATGTTCTTAAGGTCCATCATATTGTGGTAAATGGCAGGATTTCTTTCTCACAGCTGAGTAGTATTGTATTGTATGCATGTGTTGTGTATCAGATCTTTATCCATTCATTTGTTGGCAGACTCTTAGGTTGTTTCCATGTCTTGGCTATTGTCAATAATGCTGCAATAAACATGGGAGTGCAGGTACCCCTTGAGATCATGCTTTCATTTCTTTTGGATACATACCCAGAAGTGGGATTGCTAGAAGATACCCATAACAGTATTATATCCAAGGACCAGAAATATCAG